AGGATATTTTTTTGGTTATACTTTTGCTTAGATTGATATTTGAAGTAAAATATATTAACAATACTGTGTCAGTTTGTGACACACTTGGTTGCCAGGATATTTTTTTGGTTATACTTTTGCTTAGATTGATATTTGAAGTAAAATATATTAACAATACTGTGTCAGTTTGTGACACACTTGGTTGCCAGGATATGTTTTTGGTTATACTGTTGCTTAGATTGATATTTGAAGTAAAATATATTAACAATACTGTGTCAGTTTGTGACACACTTGGTTGACAGAATATGTTTTTGTTATATCACTGTTTAGATTGATATTTGTAGCAGAAATATCTTAACAATACTGTCTCAGTTTGTGACACACTTGGTTGCCAAGATATGTTTTTGGTTATACTGCTGCTTAGATTGATATTTGAAGTAAAATATATTAACAATACTGTGTCAGTTTGTGACACACTTGGTTGCCAGAATATGTTTTTGGTTATATCACTGTTTAGATTGAAATATTAGTAGTTTGTTTGCTTGTACACAGTGGATCGAACCCCGGATATTAATGTTATAAGTTCGTAAATTTATCTTTGTTAACCAGGAGGCTCCAACAAACAGTCAGACAAATTATTATTTAAAAACTATTTTAAACTTAGAAACATAGAGAATAAATAGTCGGTCTTTCGTAAACACTTTTACTATTAAAAGTGATACTGCCAACATTTATATATTTCTAATATTGCACGCAGACGGCGTTGGTGTATAATTGGTTTTTCTCAGCAATAACAGATTCAGTTTCATTACCAAAAAATGTCTAGTGTTAGATTGAAAAGTTTATGCTTTGGTACGTATTCCTAATAAGATCCTTTATTCTATTTTAACGATTACAGTAACCTACAAAATGAAAGAATATTATTGTAAGCCCGAGGCATAACAATGGCGAAAAGAGAAAGTCAATTTTTATACCTTTTACCATGTTTGTTGGTTAAATCTTGTATGAACAATTTATTGTAAAAGTTCAGCGCAGAATACTTACTGGTTTTAAATGGGACCTATGTTTGATTCGATTGGAGTTGGTTATGCAAGTTTGTAAGAAAAGAAGAAAATCGTGCACCAAGTTTCATTCATTCATAGACTCGTTGTTCATGCACGCGACGATATTTTAAGAGCACGTGAATGCAAAAGGCAAACTTTTCTTTGTTCTCTTTTGTTCGTGTTTCAAACAACGAACTGTAAAACTAATATATATATGTATATCATCAAATACGAATCTCTATAAAAGGAACCAAAGAGCTCTCTCCATGCGATCATGAACATGTCTTCATAGGAACAAAGATTATAACTTGACTTAGAGTTGAAAGTGTATGTAAGTTTGTCTGTGTGTTTAACTTGGAAGTGACAGACTAGAGGGAAGGCAGCTAGTCAACCCCACGTATCTCCAATTCTTGGGCTACTGTTTACCAAAAAACGAATAGTGAGTTTGACCGTCACATATGATTTCCCCATTGCTGAAAAGGCGAAAATGTTCGGTAAAGGATTCCAATCCGCGACACCAAGATTGATAGACTTAGGATTGTAAGATCCACTGAACGTGGATCATTTTTTGGTATGGTTTGTTTGGAATTTCGCGCAAAGCTACACGAGGGTTATCTGCGCTAGCCATCCCTAATTTAGCATTGAAAGACTAAAGGAAGGGCATCTAGACATCACCACCCACCGCCAACTCTTGGGCTTCTCTTTAACTAACGAATAGTGAGATTGAACGTAACATTATATCGCCCCCACGGCTGAAAGGGCGAACATGTTTGGTGTGACGTGGATTCGAACCCGCAACGCTCATATTGCGAGTCAAAGCGCCCTAACCACCTGGCCATGCCGGGTCAATTATACATTTTTTGTCAGTCTGTTAAAAGTAATACCTATTTCAAACGTGAACACTTGGCAATAATGTTAATTGTTTCGTCTCTCAGAATGCTAGCGTCCTCTGTGTAGTTCTGCCTAGTATTTATGTTTAAAATGTTCTAAATGGCTGTTACATCAGTGCAGTACTGCCAAGCGTTCATGTTTGAAATAGATGTTACTTTTGCACAGCAATGCCATTATTTCTGTTGTTGTTGTTTTTAACGGATATTACTTGCGAATATTACTGCCACGTGTATTGTTTAAAATGACTTTTATTTGTTTGTTGTAATATGCTACAATAAGTATGAATGTTTTGTGCCTTTGTTTGTTTGAGGTGTAACCAGTGTTCCCTCTAACCTGCGCATTTAATTATTCTAGCCGCGCAAATCCCCAGTAATGGTGAGGAGTCTCAACACGTTGATGGCCTAAAAGCCCATATAACCAACTGATAGTATTTCAAAGTGGCCTAATGGTCCAATAGGGTCGATGGTCTAAAAAACCACCCTAAAAAAACTGGTAGCGCACATTCGCACATTGCTTTGATACCGGTGCACATGAAAAATTTCATTCCGCACATGGATTGAAAAAATTAGAGGAACATTGAATGTAACTGTATTTTATTTGTACATCTTCAGTAGTATTGTTCTTTTAGATCCTGAATGTAACTGTATTTTATTTGTACATCTTCAGTAGTATTGTTCTTTTAGATCCTGAATGTAACTGTATTTTATTTGTACATCTTCAGTAGTATTGTTCTTTTAGATCCTTAGTTAACTTAACTTACTAAATATTTTAGAATAGTTAGATATTTTTATTGTATTGCTTGAAAAAAGCTTTGCCTTTTGATACATTCCACGAAATTAAGGCCCTAACTATAGGAACACTCAGTCGTAAAGTGTAATTTAGTGGTAAGATGTTTTATAAATTTATAAATTTCTTCAAAATAGTTCTGTAAAATGTTAAAAAAACTGCGACTTTAAGTTGATGAAACCTGTTTGTAATTGGTATTCCTATTCGAATCCTAAATAAAGATGTTTAATGCTAACTCTAAACGATAGCTAGCTGGTCATATATATATTTCTGGTGCCCCACGGCTGAGAGTTAGGGAACCCTAATAAGCTGGGGACGGTATCAAGTGGTTCGTCAGCCACTGTGTGAATAAAGAAATCAAATTCGTGAAAGTGAACGTGTGCGTGCCTTTCAGCTTCGCTAGTTTAGTAATAATGATCTCAAATCTGGGTGACTACTACTACTATGAAGAAGAATAGATCCTCACTGTGTGCAATTACAATACAGCGTTTCCATTTTGTCACTTGTTGGTAGTGTAGCACAAAGCTACATAATGGAATGTATGTTCTCTACCCTCCACGTGTATCGAAACCCGATGTTTAACGTTATATGTTAACAGACTTATCACTGAGCTATTGGGGTGGAAGGTGATTCTTTTCAACATTACTACCAGACAAATTCAATAAGAACGTGTTGTAGAAGTGTAACAATACCAGAGGCTTACCTTTACTTTGAGTTCAGCACCATAAACGACGTTCGTGGAATATTTGTTTTTACAGCTAACCAGGTTTTTAGGGAAATTGTTCATAGACAATACAGTTGATGGAGAATTACAAACGGTTAACTACCCAGTAAGTGACCTCTGTAAAGGTTCTTTTACTTGGTGTTCCTCATAAAACGAACATTAAAGATCGGTGAAGTACAAGAAGAAGGAACACCGATACGAAATTAATGTTATATCTTGAGGAACAGATCAGTAGATGAACGGAGGGATGGATAGATAGATAAGATTCGATTTTGATTAAAATTTCTATTTAAGTGTTTAATTAACGTTAACGTTTCTTGTGTTGTTGTTTTCTGTGGCAATTTTGTAGGGCAAATGAAAGGAAAAATCTAATACAATTGATATTAGTGTAATGACTCTGATTTTACAAAAGCACGCGTTCTTAAAACGGGTTACTATCCAGACCTTGCTTATGAAATTCTGCGCAGAAAGTAAAATTTAAACTTCTACTAACTGATAAAAAAATGCAATTACTTTCGGGTTCTTTTTTTATCATTCACATTTCTGTTGCGTGTTCATCAGTTTGGCTTTTCGTTGTAATTTTTGAAACTAATAGAAATTTGTACTTATTTTTTGTTCTGTGTTGGAATCCTTTGAAACGGTGTTCAGCTTGTAAACTTGGAACCTAAGTTTTTATTAGATAATTGAACGATAGCTATGAAAGCATGATGCCTCACGAGACATTATTTCTTTCTGAATGTCCCTTTGGCTCACGTAGAAATGTGTCTTTGGCTTTAAAGGTAATGTTCCTTTGCCTCACGAGACATTATTTCTTTCTCAATGTTCCTTTGGCTCACGTAGAAATGTGTCTTTGGCTTTAAAGGTAATGTTCCTTTGCCTCACGAAACAATGTGTTTTTGGCTTTAAAGGTAATGTTCCTTTGCCTCACGAAGCAATGTGTCTTTGGCTTTAAAGGTAATGTTCCTTTGCCTCACGAAGTAATGTGTTTTTGGCTTTAAAGGTAATGTTCCTTTGCCTCACGAAGCAATGTTTATTTGGCTCACAAGGCAATCAATCCTTGCCTCTAAAAGCAATTTTTCGTGGACACTCAAGGCAACGTGTCTTTGCCTCTCAAGGCAATGTTTCTTTGACATTAACTCATGAGGTAATGTATCTTTGATACGCGTATTCAAAATTTCGAAAATCATAATACAGGAAGGAATTTTTAAAGATTAAAATGTCAGACCAACATAAATTATCCATCCGAGGAAACAGAATTCAACAACGATGAATATTAATGGCATTCTCAGCTTTATCCTAAATATTGACGATTATCCATGACAAAATAGTTTGAAGGTTTTGGAAAAACAACATCCCGTAGACTGTCATTACCTGACTAGGCAGAAGACTTGCGTCTTTTTAAATAAAAATATGCCTTTCTAAATATGTAAATATAAACCAGTTCTGTAGTAGCGTTAAGCCTAAAGTGTGTCTTTAGAGCCTTAATCAAAATAATAAACGAATTCGTATATTAAACAACATATGACAGAAAAGTAAAAAATTAGAGAAATAATTATGACATAAGTAGAGCTCTCACATAAGTCCAATCTTTTCTTTATAATGTAGAAGTAATATGTTGGATAAACTATTTTAAATATGTTTAAAGCTGATTTAGAACTCTACAGAATGTTCCATCATTATATTAGGTTTTGTAAGTAGCAATTACTTTTTTGTGTTCTTGAGTTCAGAACACAAAGGATGTTCGACAAGGAATACTGTTATATGATATTGAAATCGACTTTAAAGTAATATTGAAACTGATATTAAATGCAGTGATTTTCTTACTATCCTGTAGAAATAAGCCTAGCTAATATCATGTCTGACTTATTCCAATGTATGTATATATATACATATATATGTGTGTGTGTGCATGTTTTAATTATGTTATGGGGAAGGATGATTTATTCTCCTGAAGATGGTGGAATTATTGTGCAAGTTAAAAACGTTGACGTCTCGTTTTATCAATTTTGCTTTAAAAAAAGGATATCATGCTTTGAATTCAATATTCTAAGCCTTTGACTGCGCTTCACTACCCAGGTAGTTATTTCTAGAACCTATGTCTTTTGCAAATTTTCTTTTTGAAAGATTTATATGCATTGTGGCCAAACCAACTATTCTAAGTACGGAAGAGACCAGAATACGAGGTTTACAAATTGCCTGATTTGTTTCGAAAAATACATGACATGCCCCTTTTGGGTTTTTGCTAGCCGGAAGTGTCCAGTTTCAACTCTTCAACATGCCTCTTTGGGGTTTCTGCTAACCAGAAGTTTCCTGGTGTCAACTCATCAACGTGCCTCTTTTGGGTTTCTGCTAACCGGAAGTTTCTAGCGTCAACTCTTCAACGTGCCTCTTTTGGGTTTCTGCTAACCGGAAGTTTCCAGCGTCAACTCTTCAACGTGCTACTTTAGGGTTTCTGCTAACCGGAAGTTTCCAGCTTCAACTCTTCAACATACCTCTTTTGGTTTTCAGGAAGTAAATAACCTTATTTTTAAATTAAAGAGTTAGACTTTACAGATTCCTTAATAACATAAAGATTATTCAGATTCTAAGGATGAAAATAAAAACTCTAAAAAAAAAGATAATTTTGATATTTGTAAATAGTCCAATAATGCCAACAAAATATAATTTATTGTTCGTTGACTTATCTGCTAATATGTGACAATATAGCCAACAAAATAAAACCTATTGTTTGTTGACTTTTCTGCTACTAGATGACAATAATGCCAAGAAAATAAAATATATTGTTTGTTGACGTTTCTGCTAGTAGATGACAACAATGCCAACAAAATAAAACCTATTGTTTGTTGACTTTTCTGCTAGTAGATGACAATAATGCCAACAAGATAAAACTTATTGTTTGTTGACGTTTCTGCTGGTAGATGACAATAATGCCAACAAGATAAAACTTATTGTTTGTTGACTTTTCTGCTAGTTTGTGACAATAATGCCAACAAGATAAAACTTGTTGTTCGTTAACTTTTCTGCTAGTAGATGACAATAATGCCAACAAGATAAAACCTATTGTTTAGTGACTTGTCTTCTAGTAATGTCAACAAAATAAAACCTGACTTGATAGGAAAATAAAAAAAATGGTGTCAAGTGTAAGTTTCCGACACGATTTCAACACTACTTTCTCGAATAACATTAGTATTTTTAAAGCGATCTGATTGGATGTCAGTGTTTGATATATTCAGCCCGCAATTGTCACGGTGATGTCGCCTGAAGGGCAAATGACGTTATTATTTTGGTTATTGTGACTTGCATATTATTATATTTCACCCTGTAATATAAATTAAATATATCAGTCACGTGATATGCAGTCGGGAACAAAAAGTCAGTTTTATGACGTCTATGAACACTTCCACCAGGAAGCGCTGAAGCACATATCCAGTCACATGATACCTAATTAATTACCGTGTGTGAATCCATGAATATTTTCATCGGTATTTCCTGTAAACCACATTTAATCATATGTCTTCTAATTAACTACATTTCAAAATTTAAGATAACTTCCACTAGGGGTTCTGTAGTTCATTTACAG